GACCTGCCAGAAGACCACACTTTTCTTGGGCCATTATCTCCGTAACCGTTCAACTTTGGACATAGGTGTTTTGGGTTATATCGGCATACTTTAACATAAGGAACACCCTCCCGAAGTTTGGCACATTCCTCCTGGGACACCCTGTATATATATATAAACTTGAGAAAAGTCAGTTGAAATAAATATTTAGTCCAAGAGCAATGAGCACACTTACAATGGCTTTGCGCATAATAAGAAGAAAGCCTATCACAATTGATGAAGACGATATAGTGATTCATCCAGCTTGAGTACCTTCATGCAAATACAAGCACGAAGCCTACTTATAATAAAAGGCAGGAAAGTAACGTATGCAGGAGATAACTGAAAACTGTATTTCATAATGAATTACAACAAACCTTCAAAGCCATTTTTAGTAACATATTTCCAACATACCTAAACATGGGAAATCTTTAGTACTACAGGCTGGTGCTTACTTGGCCACCCTTCAAGCCTCCTCATACAGCCCAACACAATCCATGGTAACTAATTTTCAGTCTACAAAAACTTGTGTATACAATGAGCTTATCTCAGTTCACATTTCTATGCTCTTACTGCCACAATAAATCTTCAGCACCCATATATTCATAAAGTTGGAAGAACAATAAGAACAGAATCTTGGTGGTTTCCATGTCAATATGTAGTTTTGTGGTCTTACAACACTGCCACAGTTGGTCACACTGCAATGCTGTGTCTGTGTGAGTATATTAAAGCGTAATGATTTCTTTCAATATTCCTGTTTCATGTTGTACGTTTCTCCCTCACTACTGCTTCCCTTACCCTCTCTCTCTCTTCTGCCAACATGTCACCTTGGAAATATCACTTTAAATTTATATAGTGATATGAAAATAGTGTAGCACCACAATGACTCATTCGTGGTATAAGATTCCAACACCTGATAGTGGAACGCTTGATTTGCAACATTTCCCTCTTCACATTTTTCCATAGGCTGCCAAATAACCAATGTCTCCTATGGCCCTGAACTTGTGGGACATTCTACACAGATCAAACCTAAGTAATTAATATTCGTTGCATCTGCTGAAATCCTGTGTTATTTTACCTGTGTCAGATCCTGCAGTAGCTCCAGTCTGCACACTTCGCTGGGCTGAAGCTGCATCTTGGTTGCTATGGTTATCATCTGAGTCTGACTCTGTTTCTGCCAGAAGGTCCAGTTCATTATCAGATTCTCCATCTCCCTGAGCATCATCTCCTGGGCCTCCCACTCCTCCCACCAGATCTCCAACTTCTGCTTCCATTGCTTCCCCACTTCCCACTCCTACACCTCCACTTCTGTCTGCATTATCCTCCTGTTCACTGCCCTCACCATAACCAATGTCTCCTATGGCCCTGAACTTGTGGGACATTCTACACAGATCAAACCTAAGTAATTAATATTCGCTGCATCTGCTGAAATCCTGTGTTATTTTACCTGTGTCAGATCCTGCAGTAGCTCCAGTCTGCACACTTCGCTGGGCTGAAGCTGCATCTTGGTTGCTATGGTTATCATCTGAGTCTGACTCTGTTTCTGCCAGAAGGTCCAGTTCATTATCAGATTCTCCATCTCCCTGAGCATCATCTCCTGGGCCTCCCACTCCTCCCACCAGATCTCCAACTTCTGCTTCCATTGCTTCCCCACTTCCCACTCCTACACCTCCACTTCTGTCTGCATTATCCTCCTGTTCACTGCCCTCACCATCTCCATCTTCAGCAGGCATACCTTCACATATTCAAGGAATCCATGTTACAAAGCCATGAATCCAAGTGACAAATCACACATACACTACTACAAAGTGGAACCTTCATATAAAGGACTGAATGAATATAAGTTCCTTACCATCTACGGTATCAGTATCTTCTAGCATCATTACTGCTCTAGCTCGAACGACGGCATTCACTAGACCAGGACGAGATACTTCTGTACCACGAGATGAGCCAGCCACGCTACCAACTAGAGGTCGCCCTCCTGCCATATATCCACCATGAGGCGTAAGAGGTTCAACTGAAAATAGCTCCTCAGAGCCCTGAACAGAATGACGTGAAAAGAAAATAGTTTCAGGCATCAAGATTCAACTAGGTGTTAGGGTCATGTTTTGCCACTCTATCAAACAACTACTGAAATACTGTGTATATTAAACTTCATACAATGGACACTGAATAATATACTGCATTAGTTACACAACTGTCTCCATCATGTGGAGTATCCCATGTGATTTACAAGGAGAAAACAAAGGAGATCAGCTTCAGCACCACATATCTTTATCCTCTTTACTTTAACACAATGGCTGTCACTGTTATGCTGGAGTATCTTTTCTTTCACTTCCCTTCACAGTGAACTAATGGATGCATCTGATTCTGTGCTGAAACAACCTTTGCATGCTTGGCCACTCTGTCTTAAACAGCTGTATCACGTCTCAGATATGTTCTGAAGTTTGCCCCTAAATTATACTAGTATTTNTACATTTATTTGTAGCGTGACACACATCACACTCTACAATATGCAAGACGGCGCGACTACACACACACACACACACACACACACACACACACACACATATTATTTATCAATATACACCAAAGATGGTTTAAACATAACATGGCACCTCAACAGCAGGGGCTTGCTGCCATTTAAGTGTAGCTGCAAGGACAGACAGTGTGTCATTGTTGGTTATTTAATGATGCTGACAGTGTCTTGGCCATATAGCATTCGATGGCCTAATAAATATATTATTCTGGCTGGAACCGAGGAAAACCATGGAAAACCTGCCAGAATACTTGGCCAAGATTCAAATCAAATATCTCCTAAATACAAGCCCAGAGCATTAACCCTATGGCAACCTTCCTGGTAAGACGACAATGTCAAGGTTTAAAAAATTATAATAAATTCTCTTATTACATACCAGTTTGTAAAGAGACAAAATATAAGCAAATATATTAAGATTCTACTTTGCCATACTTCATTCTTAGATGTTCACTTCTGTATTATAAGGCAGAAACCATGTAACTGCCCCACCCTTCTCTTAAAGTAAAAAAACTGAGCAGTGCATGAATTATATGAGAAAATGTGGTAACTAACATGTAAACATTCAACCACTGTCACATCATGTAAGAGAGATGGTAAACAACCAACAATAAACTTGCAGGATTGGAGGTTCTCATAGCGGTGGTTATGAAGAGTACCATCTTCTGGAATATAATGCCGTGTAATCTGTTGAAAGTCAACCAACATTTTGGAGGAACATATTAACTCCATCTTCTGCTTGCCACTTGAGTTCATCCTTGTTTCTTGCTCAACTTATTCTTAGATGGCAGGATGTTCCTCTGAAATGACGGTTGACCTCCAATGGGCATGGCGCTATATTGCAGGAGACAGTACGCTTCAACAGCAAACTTGATTAAGATGACACATGATTCCAGAAAGAGCCGTATCATCATTCAGTTGAGCTTAAACTGCCATGCAGGACAACATTCTTCTATAAGTGCAAAGGTTAGGTTAGTGCTTAAATTATTTGCACAACACTTACATTTAATTAAATTTGCTATTCTTTCAAGAAATACTTTGAAAAGACTTTGGCATGGATACACAGAGGAAACACCAAAGCAGCACATGCAAAATAAAAGTGCTTCTCACATTGATGACATCAATTGTGGTACTGGCAAGTGTGAAAGGAGCAGTTGGTCGAGCCACCCCTAGTCGGACTGGAGCTATGAGTGAGTCAGCTGTTTCACACAGCTCCTCGACTGCCAGTTTGATCAGTGCTTGGAAAACTCTCTTGCATTTGACCAATGGCTGAGACATGCTGTTCAACCTAGAATTCAACAAAATGCATATGAATAAACTTGCAAATGACAGCTAACATCCATTAGAAAATGAATAATGAATCTACAGTCTGAAATTTGTGGAGTGTAAGTAAACAAGTAGAAGCAATGCCAATACAAGTGCAGTATCAGTGCTACAGCAAATTTCGTATTCATATACGAGGAATCAATATGGCAGTTCACACACTGTCAATGGAGAATATTGATTTCTGATAGTAATGTTGGAACAGGGCTATGACTTCCTTACAGATCAAATTTCAGTATACAAAATCATCTTATTCAGTCCTCTCCCTCCATTTCTTTGTTTGAGGTGTTCTATACCGAGAGCAACAATGTAACCTACACATGATGGGAAGACAGACAATCTTACATATCCAAGACCCAAAAGCCTCTGCCACAAAACACTCTAACAAAGATATTCTCCTAATTATTAATTAACTGAACACCTCATATCATAATGAAGAAAGCCTAAATGCCTAGAATGAAACCCAATGACTATCCAAATTATCTATAATTAATTAATTAATTTTAATTTAATTTCTGATATTTTAAAATTAAATATGACAGAAATGTTAACTGTGATATTAACTTTAACTGATAACTAAGTGGTAATTATGATCATAAGAAAAAAGCAAACATGTGACTCAAAAGATGAAATGCGAATTACTGTTCCTCCGAGATAGAAACAGTTTTCTGTGCGGAATAAATGACACCATTGAAGATGACTTCTTGGTTGAAACATGTAGGGTAAACTTAAGCATTTACTTGTTAACAGTTGCTTTGATGACGTTAACATTATTTATTGAAATATGGTGTAACCCTGACATTACAGGAGTTTATACAAGTAAAAAAAGATGGAAAGAAAATACTCTTCATTCTAACAAATACTTGCAATAAGTAACTACAAGCCTGTCCCCTGACTTCCAAGTATGTATAATTCAATATGGCAGTAAGGTTTGAATATTGTGGGTGCAAGTATATTTTTCTTTAGAGTGGTTAACATGGGGATATGAAAATAGCTAGAATCACTCAACATTCAGTGAACAAGATCTTCGAATGGTCTATTTTTCTTATTATCAGTCTCAGCTTAAATATAGTATTATATTCTGGGGTTCTTCTCCAGTTATGAAAAGTTTATTTGTTGCCCCCCCCCCCAAAAAAAAAGAGCGATTAGTGTTATGGTGAGATTGAGCCCTGGAAACTCGTGTAGTGAAGGTTTTAAGAGGTTGGGTATTTTGACGGTTCCTAGCCTATATATCTATTCTATATTGACGTTTGTTGTTAGAAATCACAATTTTTTTCAAACCAACAATAATATTCATCATATAAACACTAGAGAGTTTGGAAAGCTACATGTGTCATCAGTGAGATTATCTTCAATCCTGAGAGGCGTGTTATATTCATCCATTATGGTTTATAATAATCTTGTAAGATAAGATTGTATGTATTGTAACACAGCAGGATGCACGAAATGAAAATTATAAACTGTATATAAACCTGTAACTGTCAAATTTTCTAATGTAATAAAATGAATTCTAATTATCATTTAAGCCCCCATATTTATGACTCTTTATGACATGTGGACATGATCCATATCAGCCATGTCAATAATGCCATACTGGTACCACACGTCTCTTCTCATGATGTTCATCACACAGTCACAAACCAAGAATGTCAAACTGTTTTCACCAATAAGGAATAGGAACATGTTAAGACTAGATTAATGTGACAATATCTGCAATCCTGTTTTGTGAGCACGAAAGTCATAACAAATGTCACATGAAAATGAGCCCTGAGTTTGCACTGGCTTAGTATACACCATGTTTTCTCATCTCCAGTATCATAAACAATGCTGAAATTAATCCATCCCTCCTTCCTATCTCACTCTTCAGCTGTCAACTTCACACAGGCATTTTGTTCAAACTTCACATTCAGGCCAAAGCTATTCCACTTCCTTGCCATAATTAGTGGTTTTAAAAATTTTGCAAACTGGTGCCAAATTAAACACAGTAGATGTCTGATGGGAGACAAAAGCATATGCATTCTGTAACATCTTTGTAGGAGGTTAGCGGAAACTGGAGAGAAAGGGAGATTTATGTAACAAGGAGGGGGAAATATTGCACAGTGCCCCCTCCCCTTAAACAAGCTAAGTAATATAATACACGAGACAAGCTACTGTACTATTGAGGAAATTCAGAGGATGCCACATGATGTACATCTCTCTGAGGTTAAAACCTGACTGGAGAAAGATGCTTTCATAATCTGGAATAAGAACATTCTCCTAGACAAGGGTAGAACAGAGAAGGTACGTTACACCAATGAGCCACAACCCCAACTCCAACTACAAACCAAAACCAATCCAAACTGAACCAACCATCCCAGAGG